TCGCACTTTTTTTTTTGTGCTGCATAGGATCTGAAAATCTTTCAGCTGTAAGCTGAAACAGGCCGCGTAATATTAAAAATGTTTTCAAAGTCTATTAGAAATAAGAGCATTCTTCGCATCTCGTATCATTTGATACGATCAGGAGAATTGAATCATTAGTACTTTAATTGAAAATTTCAAACGATGTCTCTCCATCGAGATAACCGTAAATCAGAGTTTCTTTAACGGAAAATATCTTAATTGGAAATTCAGTATTTTCTTATTAATTTTATCTAGCCTTATTCTTTTGCATGTGATTTCATTTTAATTGTACAGAGTGGGCTACGTAAAGCAGGTACCCTAATTAAAATTTTTTATACATGATTTAAATGATTTCGAAGGATGAATAAAATAGGCGAGAAATTTTTTATAAATGTCATTTTTGTCTGTTTTGGAGAACGAGATGAAACATTGTCGGAGAAAATGTTGGAGAAGACGAAAGGAAGTTGTAGAATCAAGGGAGGAGTCAATGAATTGCATAACACTCATGAATGTGGCTAGCTTTTCTTGTCGCATTCGCGAATGCTCGATCGTACACTCCCGTTCATAAGTATTAGGACACTTACTGGATGTGAAACAAACCTAGACAGTCGTTGCAAAATTGTTAAGATCTTCAAAATAATGATTCAGTCTGGAATCTCTTTGCACAACGAATACATACGACAAAACTTCCGAATATCTATTTCCATTTAAGGTGTCGTTGTAAAAATATGGTCACAATAATGCACCATTGATTATGCCACATTAAAAACAACTGTAGCTGTCGATTAAAAAAAAAATTCGCGATATCGTCATTACGCGAAAACCTGCAAATTTAAGAAATCTTCCCAAGCCATCATATTGTGTATAAAAAAATAACGAAATTTTCTCCTCTTCTGTTTTTCTCGAAAATCTGCCTCTTACCAGAAAAACGCTGGAAACTATAATAATAGTTTCAAAAGTGTCCAATACTTTCTCTAAGAAAATATTCACCTACAGAAAATTGGGTAAGAAAGAAAAATTTAATTGCACTTAAATCTCTATCGTTGGTGCATCTCACCCAGGTTTACCCTGTACGACACTAACTTCGTCGAAGACATGTAATTTAAATCATACAATATTTTCTGGACAAACATAATAGGTGTCCTAATACTTGTGAACGACGGTGTATATGTATGTTTGAACGAGTACGTAAGATCGTAAGACAAAAGATTCGTGTCGTTTGGAAATAATTCAACCCCTTCGTTCTTTGTTATTTATGCAACCTCCGACGGTCGTTTATGCAACAAATAGAAAAAGATGTGTATTCGTCTGCGATGTGTTTGCTTGCGCGACTTAAAAGATCCTATACAGCATACGTTACAAATTTAGCAATTCAAAGCACGTTATCACGATATCACGACCGATTGAGCGAGAGTGATAGTTTTATCGGTAGATATGCACATTATAATGGGATGCGTCCTCTCTAAACTGTGACCATTTATTCCGATGAATCAGAGCGTGCTTTCTCTGGCTGAGCAAATGCGATATATACGCTCTGTTCGATGCACTGGTATAATCGGAGGAGTTTCACCACTTCTATTTGATCTGTGAAAGTGTTGGAGACCTGTGTCTGAAGATGAGCGCTCGTGCTACAGTTAGGTAATGTTCTTTTGCCTGATCTAATTTACTGTCCCTACATCGATCTACAACTGTCTCACCGAATTGCAACACTCGCGCCGTTAACGATGCAATGCGGTTAGGCGCTTACACTTCTGATATAACCGCGGGATGACATATCGTCGTTCCGCACCGTTGGTCCTTACCATTTTCACGAGGATGCGTCTGAAAATTTTTCACCAGACGACAATATGTATATACGTAGAGTTTTAACGTACCAGCGTTTCCGTCCACCTTTAAGTCTCTAAGAGGAGGAGAAAAATTTCGAAGGTTCGGAAATATAGGAAGTTGGGATAAAGTGACGAGAGATGATCATTTGGAAACACGGAGATGAGACAATTACCGAGAAATGTCGGCGAACTTGAACGAAGATCATTTAGCGAAATTGCTACGCTGTTAGAAGTTTCAAGGGAATTTTGTGTATACGCGAATAATTATGCAGAAAGTTCGGGTATCGGCAAAATACGTTCGATGTGTGGGAATATGTGGGAAATCCTCGCGAGAAAACTGTCACAAGTCGAAAGTACGCAATTTGTTAAGGAGAACGGGAATGAAAATTTCTGTTTGGAAAATTACTCGATTGCAACATTGTGGAATATACGTTAGAGAAAATTTACTCGCTTTGTAAGTCTAAGGGAGAAGGGTTTCCAAGGTTTTAAAATATAGAAAGTCTAACGAGGGAACATTCCGAAGTGATAACCACCGATATCGATGAATATAGTAGTATTAAAAAAAATTTTCGACACGTATTTTTTTATCGGCAATCGTCCACTTTGAAGGGGTGAAAATCATCCTCCAAGATCAGGGTAATTAACATATTTGGTCGAAATTATTTATTATTTTTTATCTCTTAAACTTGTGATAATAAAATCTTTTATCTCTGAAATTTGTGATGATAAAATCTTTTGTCTCTCAAATTTGTCCCAATAATTTTTACCAAACAAGTTTATTAGCCTCATCTTTCAGGGCGATTTTCCTATCCAAAGGTTAATCTTCATAGTCGTATATTGAACAGCAGTTCGAATAAAGGTTCTTACATGTACTTGAAGCCAGCAATATTACAGTTCATTCTGCTATGTATAAATCAGGGATTATAGTGAATTTAGTCTGTACGATCACTTGTAGTCAATGTAACCCATCTTTCGCAAAGCGTGCAGCATCGAACGCTACCTTGAGGTCTGAATCCTTGTTCTTTTTTGCAACACAGAGTTCAAGGCGGTATTCGGTAAAAAATAATTGAGACTTACAGAAAGGAATACGAGCGATGACGGGGAAGAAAAAGTAAGGTTAAATTTAATTGCTAAATTAAAAAGTCTGGTATTGAGAGAGAATTAATTCACCGACGTGTTGAATAATCAGACAAATGAAATTCGACGTTCTACTTTGTATTCCACTGATACGAAACGTGAACGTGTTTGTATTTGCATTTAAAGCTGATCCTGTTTGAATGTACATTAACATTAACTTGAATATTATTTACTACGAATTTTCAAAATATATATATATCGATCAATAATAAATAGGTTAGTAGAAAAAAAATTTCGTACGTAGTGTGAATCTTAGGTTGCATAATTTGTATGATTTATAAAGGGAAATTTAAATTTAAAATAGTTGTATATATTACTGGAAAACAGGATGTTTATGAATGGAAATTAGAACAAAATTGTAGTTTGCAAATTGTGTGTTCTATTTCATTTCTTAGTAAGATTATATTATCAAATTGGATTGAAATTTAACAAAAATTCAGAAATTTTTCATTATTTCCATATGTTACATTTCTCTTTAGGATTCATAGCACTGCCAACTGGGCAATTGAAAGCTTTGGCAAAAGCTTGTGAATTCGTCACTGGTCCGATCACCCTTAAACGTGCTGCACTGTGCACGTCATACTTGGCGTTTTCTAATGCAGTTTTCCGGTCCTCGGTTTCACACCATAGCTGTAAGTTCAAGTTGTAATATGTAAGATAGCTTTAAACTTTGCCGCTCTTTTTTTCCTAATATTACATTTAAATCTGGTAGATTTTAAGACAAACGAATTAAAAAAAGTATTTCTCCAAAAGAATCTTATTTTTTTCAATAAAATAGTGAAAATGAAAGACAGAATTGCATTCGAAATGTGAATTGATACACAAACTAGGATGTCGGTAGTAGAAGTTCGAATCGTGAAGTAATTGTATTTAAGAAGTGTATACAAAAGTTCGTATTAATTTTAAAAATATAGTAGTCTTACATTAGCAAATGACAAGAAGAAGTTTTGGTCGTTGGTAAATTGTTCTAGTCCTGGTAGAGCAGGATCTGGCTTTCCACATTCTCGTTCTCTTCGTTTGTAAGCTCTAAATACAGCTTGCAGGCCCATACTGTCGGCTATATTTTCACCGACTGTTTGATTCCCGTAGTTCTATAATATTTATCGTTAATATATATACAATATTATCCATTCCTTTTACTGCTAGCAGTTAAATTGTATTTTTTGTGAATTATCCTTTTTTTCTTAAGTTAAGAGAGAAATTTTTAATAGAACGTTTCAATAGTTTAACAGAATAAATAGGGAATATATATACAGTATATTCTCCACAAGTGTCAGACCGCAAGGAAGCTAAACCTGATACTCCTAGGGTCAGGGAATACGTTTTCGAGCCTCGCGCCCGCCTTTGTAGTTTGCCGAACCTAGACAAGGACAGCGAATAAGAGATAAGAATGAAAAGTGAGTCGAGGCAACCAAGCGATTTAAATATCAACTTTTTTAATTTTACACTTTTTTATCCCGAAATTTTTCTTAACATATTGATGAGATTTCTCTGATGAAAATGATATGAAACACAATATAATTTGAACAACATTTACTTATTAACACGTTCACTGTCGCGCAAGATTTGCAGGTTGCAGTCAGGCGGCCACAAAAAAATACATTTTAAGCATAGGATTATAGTATTATGCTTTATAATTTTTTTTT